GAAGCTTAATATATGGGTTCTACATGAATTGATAGCAATTCACTTAACATAACGAATCAATATTTGCGATACACATTTCAAACGTAATGCAATCGATCCTTTTTGAAACGAATTATCACTAATGATGAAAAATGGATTGTCTACAATAACATTAATCCAATAATATCATGGTCTATGATGAACCAATACAAATCATATCGAAAGCTGATCAGAAAAGGATCATGCTGTTAACTTGAGCTGCTTCAAAGCAACCAAACGATCATTTCAGATGTTTACTGCCAACAACTTAAAAAATTGGAGGAAGCAATCAAAGAGAAAAGGAAAACAGTATTGGAAAATCGCAAAGTGTTCCATAGTGTTCCACGACAATGCAAAGCCTCATACACCTTTAGGAACACGTACGAAATTAGTGGACCTCGGTTTGAAAATGATGTCGCATCCCTCATATAGTTCTAATACACCATCGGATTATCATTTATTTCGAAGTTTACAAAACTAACTTTTTAAATGGTAAAAATTTCAGTTTTAACGATGACCTTAAATCACACTTCATTGAGTTTTTTACTGATAAGGACCAGAAGTTCTATGAGCTTAATTATGAAGTTACCAGAAAGATGGCAAAAGATCATCGAACAGAATGGAAGATATATGACTAATTAAAGTTCATTTTTTGTATCGAAAACATTGAGTTTTATTTTATACTAAAAAACCGAAATTATTTTCTTGTCAACCCGATATAGTACTATTATCATTTTTGTCATTATACAGCGATATTTTAATTAAAATATCCTTACAATTTACTTCATAATATGGAATCGGATAAGGGAAATGTTTATAATGACGATTGAAACGATTCATTTTTGTAATCTTCACACAAATGTCTGTGAGTTATTTCTCATATTATCTGAGGAATTTTCTTCAAGTAATTCATCTGAAGATTTTCACAATAAAGTGCTGCCGAATTGAATCTGATACTGTGAACAAAAATAACACAAATAAACATGAAAACAACAATACTGATAATTACAAATGGTTAAATATAGTAGAAATTAACTCACATGTGATTCTATTTATGAGATCTTTCAGGATTATAATATAGCATTTGGGTAATGAGGTACAAGATTTTTACTTTTTACTTGTTATAGACGAAATATTCCAGACAATTGTTGATAAAAATAAACTCAAGTGACTCCTGGGTCTTTTCATTTGAATGAGCCTCGTGGAATTACTATATTAGTTCTATATTGGTTCATATTGATCTATAGATAATATGTATTCGCAAACATTTTCAAAGATTCTGCTTCACTTCAGCAATAATGAATAACAAATAAAAATAATAGACCGAGTAAAATAAATAAAATTACGGAGACATTAAATCAAAATATAATCTCGATAAAGATGTATGTGTTGATGAATCTTTGATGCCATTTCGACACATTATTTTTCTCCAATTCTTAAAACAAAAAAGACATAAGTATAGAATCAAGGTATTCAAATTATGTTTTGGACAAGGATTTACCTATAATTTACAATGGAAAAAGGTCAAATGTAAGATGGTTATGAAGTCGTTATGACTTTATGTAAGACGGGAGTAACTATGATTCTCTTAAGTCATAGTTAGCAAGCAGTCCCCTCTTATCGAGTCCAAGAGTCATTAACCGCCCTCCGAAGGAGTCTGTATGTTTCCTGAGGATGGAAGGGCCAAGAACTGCCTCTGCGAAGCCCCGGTCCTAGAGCGTTGCCAGCCTTCTCGGTTATTTTCAAGTCGGCTCAAGACAAAGAATAAAGCTGCGGATGGATATAGAAATGTCAGAGAATCTTCAGGTTTTCCCGGTCCGACTTATGGTCTATCAACTTTTCGTTATGGAATGGACGGATGCAATAGAACTTTCGCCACGTCAAGAGGAAAAAGTGTGAATGAACAACATACACACAAGAATTAGTATGATAAGAGATTACTGTCATCGTTGGAAAACTAGAAAGCGCAATGGAGCGCAGAAGAATCTAGTCTGCTTGCAAGGCAAGAAGCAAGGTTGCTCCATGAAGGCGCCAAATATATAAACGTGGCCCTTATGCCGTATTTTCCCAACCGCACTCAGGTCAAAGACGCTATTAGCGTCATAAGGACCAAGTTCAACGTTACCTGGCAAAGCTGCGAACGGAAATAAACACGGTAACGGACGTAAGCTCTGTTATAACTGCTGAAATATTAACTGTCCTCATAAAGGTAATTATTGAGAAAATGGGTAAATCGAATCCGCTTTTGGTCCTGAGTTTCGGAGCGATAGGCTGGAGACGATTTACAAAAATCTATCAAAGTGGTCACAAGATGAGATAACGTCAGAGCTGAACGCCTGTCTCCTGGAGATATTTCCTCTGAAACCCTGTAAAGCTGGCCCACAGCCGAGAATTCAAAAACAGACTGACAAAGAGGCAAGCTCGTAGGGCAGAATATGCAATAACACAGAAGGCATGGAAGAAAAACCCATGTAAGTGACTTTCTGTTATTCTAAAAAGCGCATCCACCACTCAAACACCCTACGAAGCAGTGATGATCCCCTATTGGCAAACTATCATGACTGTTCCTTCTTCGTGTGAAATCCAAATAAAAACTTTGACAAAACATTTTAAAAGAGAAAGACTTACAAATACATATACATATACCTATAGATTAATGACAATTTATCACTTTTATTTTATTTTTCTTTTATCTTTTCCATAAGAATAATCATTTTCAACATGTAATTAATAATTAATTTAGAACTATCTATAAGACACGTAGTAATAAATTAATTATATGGGGATAGCATAAAGCTTGTATAGCTATACCGTATAAACATATATGTATTAACAATATGAATAACTGTAGTATCATAAAACTTGTTGTAAGTTCTATCGTCACAATTATCTCCAACGGCAAGCAAGAACCAGGCTTAAGTTCTCAAAAATAAGACCGATGATCCATACGCTCACGTATGTAGCGGGTACTGTAGTAAAGGAATACAAGTACAAAAGACAAAGAAGTACGTGCCGAAATGCGAGTACGCCATGCCTCTCTTATCCTTGGTAACGGAGAGCGCCCAAGAACAACACGTGCAGAGACAAAGGCGGACAAGGAAGTACGTGAAGTAATATCGTGACGCAATGGCTCATCGCCCTTGACGACAAAAAACGCGTGAGAACGGCTCATGCAAGGCGACGCGTGCAGGTGGTGCGTCTGCGCAATGACGCACCATTTTAATTTTTATCACCTATTTTATGCTGAATAAATCGATATCGTTAAAAAAATAAAGTGTTGAATATTGAACATCGCTTTTGCCCTATTATTTATCAGTCATCGTTAGCAAGAGGGAAACAGTCAAAGGTTGATAGTCAAGTCTGGAGTCCACGAAAGGAAAATCGAATTGAGGAATGATATTCGTAATCCCCTTTCATCATTTCATCGGATAAGGTAAGTTAAAGTAAATCTTTCTTGGTGCAGTTTGCCTACTCTATTGTGAAGAAAATAAAAAGAACCTCGCTCCCGTGTAAGATTTCGAAATGATTGATCGAAAAAGAAGAACGTAACTAGGCTGGTGTAATTGGGAAGTTGCAGGCACTTCGGTTGCTCTATGACCATCCAAGACCCAACTGTTGACGTCACATGACAAAGTCAAGTAACTTGTCTCTGTGAAGTCAGTCATTTCCAATTAAAGAAGATCAAGCATTACTGACGCGAATCGAGCCAGTCGAATTTAAATATGTTTTACCAGATTACAATAATGCGCCAGGCCCTGATGGCCTAATTACTAGACAGTTTCGAAAAGTCCCCACAAAAATTTTTGTGGTGATATTTAATCTTTTATTAGTTGGAGGCAAAATTCCCAAATCCCTCTTGGAATCAAAGACAACCTTGATTCCAGAAAGAGGACGCCTCCAACCCAGGGGACTTTCGACCGATAACGATATCATCGATATTGACAAGGACATACCATAAAATCCTTGCCAATAGGCTTCTCAAGGAAATTAGTTTCGACAAAAGGCAGAGAGCTTATCTTCCTTGTGATGGAACGGCGAAGAGTAATATCGACCTTGACATGCTTCTCCGATATCACCGGCAAAATTTTAAGCCTCTATTTGGCATCGATAGATGTCTCCAAAACATTCGATTCTGTGTCACACAAAACTATTAGGTGCACCTTAACATGTAATGGTGTCCCAAACTATGTTTTAAAATATATAGTTGACACTATGAACGAAGCAGTACGAAGCTTGCATGTGATGGCTGGGTCTCTAGACAAATTAAACCAACATGCGGGATTAAGCAAGGGGAACCGTTCTCATCTATTATCTTTAACACTAGATTGCCCAAGGAAGTCATTTTGACTGCTTTTTAATTTCAATTAGAGAAACAATTATGCATATAATGACACAATTTTTTAGAATTTATGACATTTTGTACAACATATAAATGCGTTTATTAATAATTGTAATTACCTCCTTCCTACTTCATTTCCGGTATATATATGTGTGTTATATCCATATTGCCCAAAAGCAGTCAAAATGACTGCTTGAGAAATTTTAAATAATCAAATGACTCTTATTATTGAATTGAGTAAATTTCTTATATTACCAGTTCGGCTCTGTATTGAAATAACAGTTTTCATTTTTTTTCGATTATCGTTACATGATAACATACAAGTACATGATAAAATGTCGATTTGGACGTATATATGATAAGTTACAATTGCTCAATAAGCTAAAGTAGTACTTGTTATTCGAATCTTTATGCAGTGATACTTGTTCTAACAAGTTGTTTATTTTATTTCTTTTGCACCCTAAATTTGTGAAAGGAATGGAAAATAGAAGTGAGTTATTGGAAAAGCTAATGAATATAAGTGAAGAGTGCTCCGATATAGAATCAGATGCAACAAATTCTGAACTATCATCTGAAGATGAAGCGTATTATATTCAAAGTAAAACACAGGTTTCTCTTATTTGGGGAAAGGTAAAAAACGTCAATGCTTCTCAGTGAACACGTTGTTCTGAAACTTGTCGAGCCATATACAAGCTATGGAAGAAATATCACGACGGATAACTTTTTCATTAGCATGTCACTCGCGATAAAATTATTGACCAAAAAAATAACCCTAGTTGGAACTATTAGAGGAAACAAAAGAGAACTACTCAAAGCAGCCAAACAAATGAAGGATAACATGCCTCGTTTTTCCACTCTGCTATATAAATCAGAGAATTGTGTTCTTACAATATATAAAAGCAAACCAAATAAAAGAGTAGCAGTTCTAAGTTCTAAGCATAAATTTGTAAAAATTGATAAAAGTAATAAAAATATGTTACAGGAATCTATTCAATTTTATAACAGCACAAAATTTGGAGTTGATATGGCGGATCAAATGGTCAGAAAATATACAGTAAAAGCTAGTTCTCGTAGATAGCCCCTTCAAATATTTTTGAATATTTTAGATTTGGCTGCTATAAATGCTTGAATCCTTTACAAAGAAACGACAGGAATACAAATACAACGAAAAGAGTTCTTGTTTCAATTAGCAGAACAGCTTTCCACCGAATACAGAGCTGCAAGACAGAAAAATTCATCAGAACATAAAGATCAAACTGCAACATCATCAAATGTAACCCATTCTAACAAACGTCTAAAAATTTGTCAAGTACGACTTTGCCACAACAACAAAACAAATAATATATGTGAAAAATGTCAAAGGTATGTTTGCGGAAGATGTACACATAAAAAGATTTTCACTATCATTTGCATAAAATATACAAATAATAATGCATAAATTATTTTTTCTTCCAAGTGAAGTAAACTTTTTTTATTGTTAATATTTACTAAAAACTTGTAATATAACTATAAATAATATAAAAAATATTAAAAATAAATTTTAAACAAATTTCAAAACACATTAGTTATTCGTGTACAATGCTGTCATTTTGACTGCTTTTGAGCAATATAGGTATATATTAAATTTCGGTCTTTCTAATGTTAATATCATGATGGATGGGCTCCTGCGCAAAATACCCACATCGGTGCAGAGGTGGACGGAGCTTGTTATAACGCTCTTGCATTTGCAAATGTCATCGTCTTCGTGGTCTCTACACCCCAGAGACTCCAAAGCACTCTGGATATTGTGAACGATTACCTGGTCAAATGTGGTTTAATTATAAATATAGGTAAGTCGTTCATTGTGGCAATTTGGAGTCTGCCACATATGAAGAAGACGATGGTAGATGACAGAGCTGTGTTTAATTGTGCGGGATGCCAATTGGCGGCATTACAACGAGAAGATGAATGGAAATTTCGGGGCATATCATTTACGCCTGAAGGTAGATCAAAGGGGCAGGAGATCAAACTTCTCTAATGTGCGCTTCAAAAATTAACTAAAGTGCTACTGAAGCCATAACAGAAGCTTTTCACGTTGAGAATGGTGGTGCTACCAGAGATATATCATCTCTTGAACCTGGGTAACACATCTTTCAGCCAGTTAACGAAACTCGATAGCATTGTAAGAGCCTCTATAAGGAAATGGCTTATACTACCGCACGATACAGTAACTGCTTAATTTCATGCGAATGTAAAGGATGGAGAATTGTTAGTTCCATCTATGCGATAGCTTACGCCAGTGCTTCGTCTGAAAAGCAGAAGGACTGATAATCAAAATAAGTCTTATATTAAGCAGGAAATTGGTCGTGCGGAAGAGGTTATGTGACAGACGCCTCATTATTGACTCTCGGGTAAAACTGGAGAAGAGATGAGCGTAAATTCACTACAGCTCATTTGATGGCTGCAGTTTGATGGAATCGAGAGAAATCTTTCAACACCAATGGATAATCTTTCAACAACACCATTCGATTCCTATCAGGGCGAGACTTTGTCAACGCAACTAAAATAAGAATTAACGAACTGTCAACGAGATCCAGAACAGCAAGGGGCAGGAAAAGTGACTGCACATGTCAGGCAGGATGCAAGACGATAGAAGCGATAGTTCACATCCTGCAAAAGTGCTATCATACTTATAAAGCACGTATAGATCGACACAACGCGGTCGTATCTTACGTGAAAAGAGCACTCATGAAATTATACAACATCGTGGGAGAGGAATCTCAGTTCAAGATAGAGGAAAGCCTCAGGAAGCCCGACCTAATAGCGGTTAAGAATAATAGTACTTTGGTGATCGATGCGCAAGTCGTTGGTACAAATATCGGCCTCGATATTATGCACGACAGCAAGACGGGGAAATATAAAATGTTGATGGAACTCGTTAAGGGAAAGTACGACGTAAGAAAAATAAAATTCATGTCTATAACTCTATCATACAGAGGTATTTGAAGCAAAACATCTGCCCAATACCTCATAAACAACAAAATTATCAACCTAAACAAACTCAAGGTGATCTCAACCAGAGTCCTGGTTGGAGGTCTATCTGGGTTCTGGAAGTTCTGTCGGACGACGACACAGTCAAACCAGGAAGATTAGAAGAACGCGCCGGATAGGGGACCACAACATCATCGTGTTGCCTACGGATAAGGCATAACGAAGTAGAGGAGTGGATTATTTTGTGGGAATTTCAAGTTGAAATGAGTCTCACACGAGCAGCAACAACATGGCTGTAGTGCGTAACGCATTTTTCTTTTCCTACTTAAAAAAGAAAAAAATAAGGATATAACGCGTAATTAAACGTACCATCTTTTCTTGCATCCCAAAGCTCTTCGATGCGCTCAATCTTCTTGGTTTGGTCATCGCTAAGTATTAATGCAACAACTTTGGCTGAGTGGTGTTGGATGAGAGGACTCGATACTTATCAAAATTTACACGTCATGGATCGCGTATCGGGATCAGTTGTTTTTATTACATGGACTACATATTACACGGAGAACTATCGTGGCCAATTACTTAAAATTTTAGCTTCACGGATTTTGCGATATGAGCGAAAGGGTGTACGATAACTCTGATCTTCAATGATGGACGGAAAGGTACAAGTATCTTTTATTTGTACGAAATGGCAAGTGACGCTGATTAAAGCTCTAGCCGAGATTTGAGTTGAGCGCCGCGCTCCTACTTGGATAGTTACACAACGTAGTGCAAAAGGCGTTGCCATATATGTATACTACTAAAACGACCTGTTAGTCAGACTCGATTATCTGTCTAACTTAGATCGATATCTTTCCTCACTTATTTATAACTTTCTGAGGAATGGTCCACGTCGTGGACAAAACCAGAAGACATGTTTGAACTAAGGCCTTTAATAACACTTATCACAGCGACTGACAAGTGCTTCATATTAAGAAACTTTTCTTCAACCGCAAAATTAAGAGGATAGTTTCACATTGTCTTCGGTTTGTATCTAATGTTAAAAAAAATAAACCGCCACTGAACGGAGTGTTGACTTTCCGGGAGAATTAGAACACTCAATGATCGTCATGTTTGGAATTGCACAAAGAGAAACTTTTGCTAACGAATTTCAGCAATTGGCTGAAGGAACGGCAAAGGTGAAGACAAATTTATGACCGTTTGTCAATGCAGATGGTTTGATTCAAGTCGGTAGTAGGTTGTCATTTTCCGACTTGCCTTATTGTCAAAAAAACCCCATCATTCTGGCTTAGAATCATTATGTAACTACAGTGGTTCCCTGCCACACACACCTTAGCGATTATCATTCCGACATTCAAGCGACTTTATCATTATTAAGGGAGCGTTATTGGCTGATTAATGGCCAAAGAAGTCTAAGAACTGTCATTCATGGCTGTATGATATGTTGCTGCACTAAGCCGATGATTCTGGATCACATCATGGGTAATTTGCCGTGACATCGTGTTCTTAACAACCGACCATTTTCAATCACAAGAATCGACTATTGAGAGCTCTTATACATTAAAGAAAGACGCTATCAAAATCGCGACAAACTAAAGGTATATGTGACCGTATTCGTTTGTCTCACCACACGCACTGTACACCTAAAGCTAATAAACGATTCGACGACCGAGGCTTTCATCGCGTCCTTGAAACGATTCTTTACATACAGAAGAAGTGCATTTATATTCTGACAATGCTAATATCGGAGCTAATCGTGAACTAAAGAAACTCTGGGAATCTGTAAATGCTTTTGAAAGCGCAAATACAGTAACTCGATATTTTAGCGAATAAGGCATATAAAGTCATTTCATTCCTCCAAGATCTCCACACTTTGCTGGCCTTTGTGAAGCCGCCGTTAAAGTATTCAAGCGGTACTTCATGCACGTGGTCGGTGAAATATTCTTAATGTACGAAGCACTCCACACGAACATAACAGAAATAGAAGAGATCCTAAATTCACGCCCTCTCACTTTAATCTCCACTAATCCCAATGACTTGTCTGCACTTACTTCTGCCTACTTCCTGATTAGAGGCTTATTAATAATCGCACCTGAGGTGGAAGAGCTGGTACATAGAATATTTGCACGAGCTAAAGAGGTGAGAAAGAAATGGCATTAATCGGAGACAGAAGATCAGCACTCTCGTACTCTTTAAAGAGGACAACGTACCATCAATGCGATAGTCACTAGGATACACCATCAATACGCAGCCAGGTGAGGATAGCATCGTTTGTATAGCAATGGAGCGGCCATGGGAACATACAAGCGCGGCATCAACGGCCTTTCTCCCTTCCCTACCGATAATGGTTAGATACAGTCATAATTATTTATAATTTAATCTCTTCTTTGAATAACTCAACTAACGTATCAGTTTAATTATCTTATAAGTACGACTCTTACTAACTTATAAGTCATTTATACCAATACGAAAGCACTTTCGTGCTCTTCTCCCACGACCCAACAAATACCAATTTAGCGGAGAAATTAATTCTAATATTCATCTAGTAGGAACTATACGTAAGAATCATCATGGGATATCCGAAGAAATTAAATCGAAAAAATTAAAACGAGATAAACTCATTGATAAACAAAATCAGAAAGATATTAATATCGTCAAGTGAATATGCAAGATATCAAGGTATCAAAATATCATTTAAAAAATAAATCGATTTGTCTGTAAATAGTTTAGCAGGCAAACAAATTTTCTGAGGTGAGCGTCAAAATACGGATCGTATGGGAAGATGCTATACTGTTTTATCAAAGTCCTATGAGATTTGGTTCAAAAGAAACACTTAAAATACACAAAAATGTATTTGAACATGGCTTACATTGAACATGGCTCAACGATATTATAATCCAATCAAATAACTTAGGCTACACTGGCTTAGTGGTAGTTGTGAAGAAGTTAGAAACATAACGAGATTTTGTGTTCATTACCGCAAATTGAACCAGAACATGATTAAAAGGCAATATCCATTATCCATGGTTGAAGATCGCATAGATAAATTACAAGATTCCAAAATTTATAGTCTTATAGCTTTGCAAATCAGCTTTTCTGCAAAGTTGAAAG